TGGGCCCGGGGCGCCCGGCCAGGCACAGAGCAGGGCCGGCCCTGCAAAGGGCAAATAAACCCCCCGTGCATTAGCGCGCGGGCAAGCAAACAAGCGGAGCAGGGATCAAAGCCCAGGACGGCTTTCAGGCAGTGAGGGTCATGATCAGTTGGGGATGAAACATTGTGAAAGGCAAAAAAAATAATAGTAATAAAAAGAAATGCAGCAGTCCTCGGTGCAAGAGGCCAAAAGCGGCCCATTCAGGCGGGCAAGGGGAGCGTTACCTCTCCTTTCGTCCACCCCAGAAAACCAGGATGTGGGGTGCCAGCCCCCGCCTTGGATGCCCAGGCAGGGGTAATCGTGGCCCCACTGCCGGTTTGAGCCGCCGGAGGTTCTTCCATCCCTGTCACCGGAGACCTGGAGCATCCCACATCCTACATGGGGACTTGGCGGCGGCAAGCACAGCTGGGCGGATAGCGCACCATTCCAGCACGGGGGCCAAGGAGAAGAAAGGAGGCGAAAACAAGCAGAAAGCTTTGATCTGAAGAAGCATGATTTCTTTTCCTGCCTCAATTTAAAAAAAAAAAAAAGTTACTTTGGGTCAAGGGAACATTTTGTTTGACCTGAAACAAAACCTGACCTTGCCAGACTGGCTGTTTTCAGCAAAAGTGATGGATGCAAAGGGACTGATACACCCCAAGCAAGGAGCCACCTCGGGTGCTCCCTTCCCTGCACACCCATGGGTGCTGCTGCCCGTGGTTGGAGCCTGGAAAAGGTGCAGGATCAACCCTCTGTGCTAGGGTTGGTGGTGACAGCGACACCTGTGGGGATACACATGGCTGCATCCTGGCTGCCAAGAGGAGCCGGCCTGGCTCTGAGGGGAAGCGACAAGCAGCAGCTCTGCGCCTGGGCACCAGCTGGGGACCCTCGACACGATGTCCAGTGTGGCCATCCCAGCCCAGCCGCTCACCTCCTGCTCCCTGAGAACGCTTGGCTGGGCTCCGCTTTCCTCTGAGGCCCTTAATGTGTTCCAGGCATTTTTCCATTCTCTTGTCTCTTTTGCTCTTTCTTTTCTTTTTTCCTTTTTTTTTAAATTTTTGATGTAGCTCCTCGCCTCCCTTTCCAAGCACTGCTGTGAGCGTCTGTGTCTCTCCTTTCCCCCCTTCTTGCTCTTCCTCGCGCCTGTTTGATGGCACATATGAAAAACAACATTAGAGGCACAGCGCTGGCGGCTGTGTCCCCCCAAGACGGAAAACACCATGTTTACGTCTGCCAGCAAAGCCAGAACATCCCAGGTGCATTCGCAGGGCGCGGGTGCTGGGAGCAGGATCAGCCGGGATCAGCCCCAGGGTGCTTGCGGCCTTGCCTAGCTCCGCAGCAGTGCCCTTTGCAGCCTCTTCGCAGCCACTTGACGTCATGGGTTTCCAAAATATAATAAGGTGAAGGCCAAGCCCTGTGTCCCAGGCACCTCAGCCCCTCTGGCAGCCAGGCACATGCAGCCCCGAATTTCCTGTTGCTCCATGCTCAGGCTGGCTAACTGGAGCCAGATTTTGAGGCCGGGGCTGGGTGGCGCGGGCTGACATGCAGCTGTCGTTGCTCTTTTTGGGACCCCAGTGGTCCTTCCCCTTCTGTGGGGTAGGTTGAGCCTGCTGGGAGCCTCTCTGCATGGCCAGGATGGAGGGTGGATTGGGGGGACAGCACATTCCCAGGATCTGGCCCCACTGGGTGCATCAGCTCAGGGGTCTGGGGATGGGGGTCTCCATCGACGGGATCAAAATGCCAGGCATTGCCCAGCCCCACATCCATTCAATGCCCTGCTTACCTCCTGACTCATGTTCCCCTGGGACTTTTTGGTTTTTGGGATGCTCTCGTGGCAGCTGGGACTGGGGATGCAGTGGGGGGCTGCCAGGATGCTCTCCAGCGCTGTATCGGGGCACAGATCTGCAGCCGAGCGGCCTGAGCACTGCTGTGGCCTCACCATGAATGTTTGCCCCTGGGGGGTGGCTGCAGGTAGGTGCCCAGCACCATCCCCGGCACAGCCCCTGCACAGCAGCTCTGCCTGGCCGCGCTCAGCAAGATGGTGCAGGAGCAGCAGCTCTGCTGGCCAAAAGGGAAAATAGGTTAGACTGTATCAGTAACAAATTCATATTTCAGCAATGCTACCATCCATCCTTCCTTCTCTGCATCCTTCCATACTTCTGTCCATCCTTCTACCATCTCTGTCCAACCTCTCCATCATCCATCTTCTCTATCCAATCTCTCCTTCCATCCATCCTTCCATATTTCCATCCATCCTTTCCAACCATCCATCCGTTCCATCATCCATCTTCTCCACCCATCTGTCCATCCATCTTCTCCAACATCCCTTCTCTCCATCTGGTCTCTCCTTTCACCCATCTTTCCATCTTTCCTTCCATCCATCCATCCATCCATCCATCCATGCAATCTCTCCTTTCTTCCATACTTCCACCTTTCCATCCATCCAGCTATGCATCCATGCATGCAATCTCTCCCTCCCTCCATCCTTCCATGTCTCTATCCTTTCTTTCATTGATCCATACCTCCACACTCTCTATCCAATCTCTCCGTCCATGCATCCATCCACAGATTGATCCCGCTAGTCTCTCCAGCTATCCTCTTCAGCTGCCTTTCCCATCCCAGATCAGGCTCTTCCCAGGCCCCCATGGGTGGGGGATGAAGGAGCATGTGGGGCTCTGAGGGTGCCCTGGGGGTGAGGACATCTGGAAAAGCAGGAGGGGATTGGAGGATGCTGTTTTGGGGGACCATGAGCCAACAGGTACCAGGGTCACACCCAGGGTGAACATGGAGCATTCTTACCCCACTGGGTAAGAGGCACCTCACGGGGTCTTGTGGGACTCTAGATTTTGGGGGGCCCAGAGGAGCCTGGGTCACAGCCACTGCCATGCCAGGTCCCCCCTTTAAGGAGGCAAACCCAGCTACGACCCCCCAAGGCTCCCATCCCCTCTGCTCCCCTTGTGGATCCTTATTCTTGGCAGGCACCAATGATGCCATGAGGCCTGGGCACCCCGTGGGCTACTCAGCACCCATCCCACTTGGTGAGGCGGCCACAGCGGTGGGGCCAGAAGCCATGAAGGCCTTGGAGTGGTGGGATGGGGACATGGAGATGGAGCCAAGGCCAACATGTCCCCACAGGGCCCCTGTATCCCCTGGGATGTGTTGGGATCTCTGCTTCAAACAAGGGTGTTTTGTGTGTGCAAGAGGCCTGGCAGAGCCAAGGGGGAAAGGAGGGAGGCTGGTTGCGCAGGCTATTTTGAGGACAACAGGGTGAAAGGGCTGTGAATGGGGGACAGCATCTGCCTTCCTCTTCCTGCCAGGGTAAGGGGGGTCCCCGTGGGCATGCCTAGGCCCTGAGATGGGGGCAGAGATGCCGGCAGGGCACCACGCAGCCGAGGCCCTGACATTTGTGCGCCCTGAGCTGCCCCTGCTCCTGGGGCGGGCAGAGCTCCTGCTTGGCAGTGGGGTGCCCTGTGCCACTGCACCCTGCTGCCCTGCACCCAGGCACCCAGGAGGGCAGGTGGGCAGAGGGAGTAGGCAGCTGTGCTCAGGGAGCCCAGGGCTGTGAGCTACTTGATGCAGGGTGGCGGGAAAGGCAGGGATGGGCAGTGCAGGCAGGGGTGGACAATGCAGGCAGGGGCAGGCAGGCAGGGCTGGGAAGCACAGGGATGGGCAGTGCAGGGGTGCACACTGCAATCAGGGTTGGGCAATGCAGACAGGGGTGCACAGCATCAGCAGGCATGGGCAGTGCAGGGACAAGCAGTGCAGGCAGGCATGGGCAGTGCAGGGGTGCACAGTGCAGGCAGGGGTGGGCAGCGCAGGCAGGGGCAGAGGCTGCTGGTAGCCAGCTGGGATGGATGGTGAGCACCAGGACATGCTTCTGGGCCTCTCACCCTAGCCCAGAGGCGAGGGAACCCCAAGGTGTGCAAGGCAGGCAAGGCAGCAGGGAAGTGCAGGGTGGATGTGCAGTGAGTGCAGTGTGCATGCAGTGGGTGTGCAGTGCAGGAATGGAGCCAGGAAACTACAGGCCTCTCAGCCTCACCTCCAGCCCTGGAAAGGTGATGGAACAGCTCCTCCTGGAGGTCATCACTAAGCATCTGGAGGACAAGAAGGTGATCAGGAGTAGTCAGCATGGATTCACCAAAGGGAAATCATGCTTGACCAAGCTGATAGCCTTGTATGACGGAATGACCGGCTGGGTAGGTGAGGGCAGAGCAGTGGATGTTGTCTTTCTGGACTTCAGCAAGGCTTTTGACACTGTCTCCCATCACATCCTCCTAGGTAAGCTCAGGAAGTGTGGGCTAGATGAGTGGACGTGAGGTGGCTTGAGAACCGGTTGGATGGCCGAGCTCAGAGGGTTGTGGTGAATGGCGCAGAGTCAAGTTGGAGGCCTGTAGCTAGCGATGTCCCCGAGGGGTCAGTCCTGGGTCCAGTCTTGTTCAACTTATTCATCAATGACCTGGATGAAGGCACAGAGTGCACCCTCAGCAAATTTGCTGATGATACTAAACTGGGAGGAGTGGCTGACACACCAGAAGACTGTGCTGCCATTCAGAGGCACCTGGACAGGCTGGAGAGGTGGCCAGAGAGGAACCTCATGAAGTTCAACAAAGGCAAGTGCAAGGTCCTGCACCTAGGTAGGAATAATCCCAGGCACCAGTACAGGCTGGGGGTTGACCTGCTGGAAAGTAGCTCTGCCGAGAAGGACCTGGGAGTGCTGGTGGACAACAAGTTAAACATGAGCCAGCAGGGTGCCCTTGTGGCCAAGAAGGCCAATGGGATCCTAGGGTGCATTAGGCAGAGTGTTGCCAGCAGGTCGAGGGAGGTGATCCTGCCCCTCTATTCAGCCCTGGTGAGGCCTCACCTGGAGTACTGTGTCCAGTGCGAGAGCTGGGCCTGTTCAGTCTGGAGAAGAGAAGATTGAGAGGGGATCTCATCAACGTGTACAAGTATCTGAAGGGGAGGGGTGTTGAGAGGATGGGACCAGCCTGTTCTCCGTGGTGTCCAGCGACAGGGCAAGAGGCAACAGGCACAAACTGAACCCCAGGAAGTTCCATCTGAACCTGAGAAAAAACTTCTTGGCTGTGAGGGTGACTGAGCACTGGAGCAGGTTGCCCAGAGAGGTAGTGGAGTCTCCTTCGCTGGAGATATTCAAAACCCGCCTGGATGCGATCCTGGGAAATATGCTCTAGAGGCCCCTGCTTGAGCAGGGGGGTTGGACTAGATGATCTCCAGAGGTCCCTTCCAACCTAAACCATTCTGTGATTCTGTGATTCTGTGAATGCAGGGCAGAGGCATGCAGCCCACGTGCAATGTTTGTGCAGCGCGTGTGTGCGCAGCCTGTGGGTGCAAAGTGTGAATGCTGCAGTGCAATGTGCACGCTTGCCATATGGATGTGCGGGGTGGGGATGCAGAGAAGATGTGCAGTGTGTGTGCATGCAATATGGGTGAGCAAAACACATGCACATGAGGGTGTGCAGTGTGTACAGCATGGGTGTGCAACATGTGTGTGCAGTGCTGGGCTGCAATGAAGGTGCGCAATGCAGGTGTGAAGTATGACTGTGCAGTGCAGGGGTGCAATACAGGTGTGCAGTGTGGGGTGCAGTGTAGGGGTGCACTGTGGGAGTGCAATACAGATGTGCAAGGCAGGTGTGCAGTGCAAGGGCGCAGTGCAGGGCTGTGGGTGCTCATGGCCTGGCTCCAGCTGGGTGCACTCATGTCCCCTGACCCCAAACGGCCTGTGCCAGCCCACGGTGTGCGCACAGCTGAGCCGCAGCTCCAGGACCTGCGTGCAATTAGTGCATCAGGAAACGACTCTGCATCTCCCCGGCCCTGAGAGCTGTATTTGGCCTCAGCAAGGAACTGCAGCCCACAGGGCTGTGGGCTGCAGACAGGGTGAGTATGCAGGGACAGTCGAGGCGCAGGTGAGTGAGGAACACCGGGTGGGGAGGCAGCGTGTGCCCACGGGTGTGTGTGCACATACGTGTGCACACACACCAGTGGGGTTTGCATGTGGGCCTGGGGTGTGTAGAAGTGTGGGGTGTGCATACGTGGAGGGTGTGTGCACAGTGTATGTATGTGCATGGGTGAGCACATACGTGTGGGGGTGTGTGTGCATGCATGTGTGTGCAATTTGCATGCTTGTCTAGGGGATGCGCATCTGTGCATGGCGTGTATGCTGCACAGAGCTGGGGGTGTGCATGCGGCACGGGGGTGTGTGTGTGTGTGTGTGTGTGTGTGTGTGTGTGTGCACATGTGTCCATGCAGCCCCAGCTCTGCCCACCCTTGAGAAGGCACTGAGCCCCCTCCGATCCCCAATCCCAGCACTCGCGACGGCAGCAAGCTCACCCACAGCCCCTCTTGGGCTGCTCAAGGGGAACCCAAAGCCCCGGATGCCTGGGTCCAACAGGGCAGAGAAGAAAGCCTAAGTGATCAGGGTCTGCAGCCCCCAGCCTCCGATCCCAATGCCAGTTGTGGCGTTTTTCCCATGACGCCGAGTCCCCGGGCAGTACCTGGTTCAGGGGTCCCTGTCCCAGCAGGGTTGGTTTGGTGCTGCCTGCTCCTGGCTGATATTCCCGGCTCTCTCTGATAAGGGCCGGACAGGAATGTTTCCCTTTGTAGTTACAGAACAAACAATATGTCAAAAAAAAAAAAAAAAGCAGCATTCTTCCCTGTCCTCCCCGGCAGCTGCTCTGTGCACCCGCGGGAAACATGAGCCGCCCCATCGCCTCTGACTCAGGGCTCTGGGATGAGCCGAAAACTCCCCTCACCTCCTGGTGCAAGACGGGGACAAAAGTTCACGCTGGAGTTCACGCAGCCCCTGGGCTGCTGAGCCGGCAGAGCTGTGGTGCAAAGCGGCTGCCCCTGCGCCCAGGGCACGGCCGGCCCCTTGGCCTCGCACGAGAGCCAGTGTGCGAGAATGGGGGGGCTTGGCTGCTCAGACCCTCCGCAGCCACTCCACACCCCACCCACCACCCTCCCGCTCACCATTTTGGGGCAGTTTTACCTATTCCGGGCTGCCCTGGGAATGGGCTGTGCCTGGCCGTAGGGCTGCCCGCAAGGGCTTCTTGGGGCCCGTAGGCTCCTAAAATGCAGCTTTTGGGGAGAAACGAGGCAGCCGGGAGCAGTAACAGCCGAGGCTGCTGGCACAGGGGGTGGCGGGAGACCCGAGCGCCCAGCCGGCCACTGGCATCGCTCTCTGGCCCTGCTGAGCCAAGGGAGGTTTCCCGCACTGCCACCCAGTGCCCATGGTGAGGATGAGGTCCCCGGCTGTGTGGTGGCACTGACCCCCTGGGGACACACTGGATCCCATGTGGTGACACTTCTGCAGGGCCATGTGGTGACACAGAAACTGGGCGATACCCCATGGGCCATGTGGTGCTGGTGACACCCTGTGACACCCCATGACACCCCATGAAGCATGGGCTGATGCTGATGGGGATGGCGATGGGGATAGGGATGGGGATGGGGACAGGGATGGGGATAGGGAAAGGAATAGGGGTAGGGATGCAGATGGGGACAAGGATGGGGACAGGGATATGGGTAGGGATGGGGATAGGGGCAGGGATGGGGATGGAGTGGGAATGGAGATAGGTATCAGGACAGAGATAGGGATGGGAATGGGGTCGGGGACAGGGATAGAAACAGGG